GGCAACAAAACGAGATGAAAATGTCGAGGAAAAGTGGAATCTCGGCGTGGAGCGGCGCGGCGCGCGGCGGTATATCTTTTTGTCGGATCCTCGGCAATGGCCGTGCGCGCGGTATGTCGTATATAACGAAACGCCCTTACTCGGACGGTGGAGAAATAGAAGGAAGAAGAGTGACCAAAGGGTGGCTCGCGGAGGAAGCGGCGAGCCGCGGCGGGAGGGTAAAATGGCGCGCGGCTTCCCGTTCCCCGACAGGCCACAGTGCAAATGCAGGCCTTGAATGTGTAATAAGCACTCACGTCGCAACCCTTGGCTAGACCAACGCAACGGTGCAGCCTCGTGTCTGCGTTTAGAAAGGTCCTGGCACGCGTATACACTCCTCCCCATAAGTCTTACGATAGTTACAACTTCCCAACGACATGCTTATTGTCTGTCGAGAAGCTGACAAGAAATATCTTAAATGACACGAAATATTTAACAGCTATGTGTGAATGGATCAATGATGCAAGTATAATGATTATAAGAAATTGGCATTCGTCAATTATGCAACAAGCAAATTTTGATGTCTCGTTGATTACACTCAACTTCCCTTCAGTGTCTTATATCCATCACAGAAAGAGTCAATGCTAATTATAAATCACACAATTATTATATCAACAAGCAGGAGATTTAACATTTTCTTTTATTCGAAATCCTTTTTACTCTAAGAGAAATTGTTAAATACCTGATTCGTTTTGGAAATCGTCCTAAGACTTCTGAACGGGGTTGTACGTGCGTAGATACGCGCGTGCCACCCATCATAGTCGTTAGTGGCTGCATGTGAATGCTCGCGTGTGGTGGTACCCGCGTCGTCGTTCAGAATGATACGGCGGCCGTTGACGCGCAAGTTTGATTGCGAATGGACGACGACGCCGCTGGCTGCCAGGCCCAGGGTTAGAGGTAAACACGCATCGCCGCGGCTAGCCGTTGAACGGTGAACCCGCGGGGGTGAAAACAGGCTCGGCGGAGGTGGAACGCCAGGTGGTAAGGGTAGAAGAGAAGGCTATCGCTCTCTTTTCCAAAGCTCATAAAAGCCGCGGCGCGGTGCGTATTAATGCGCGACGTTGACGGTGCGCCTCCACTAGAGTCCACCTAAAAGACGAGGCATTGTGCGAACAGGAATGAGAGTATATACCGCTCTTCCACCCTCCTCTTTTTCTTTTTCTTTTTACTTTCCACTCCTTCATTCGTCTTAACCGGCACGCGGTCGACTCCGCGACGGATATATTGTCTGCGGATCCCTTCTTCTCTCTCTCCTCGACTGTTTTCGCTTTTTCAGTTTTTCGGTTGTAGCTCTTGCCTGATTTATCGTTTATTCGTAAACGAAGATCGACTTCGCGAGCCAAAGAACAGTTTTCCAGCGTCACAAGCATCGCGCTCGCTCCGAGCCCCTTTTGATCTCAAACGGAATGGTCGCGCTTTGAAAATAGTTGCTGCGAGGCGAGGCCTTTGTGCTGAAACGAGTCTTTAGTCGAAAGTACGTCTTTTAGCATTATTTTTTCAAATGGCCGAGAATTAATTGAGGAATCCAGGAATTAAATCGATCTGCTGTTTTCAATCTCGAATAAATAAATCTACGACAAGAACTCGGTCTGCTAGAAAACAGTATTACTAACTAAAGTAAAAACTTTTTAAATTCGAAAACAACTTTTGCATTAAGGGACAAGCTCTGATTATCCAGCAGTTAGAAATACGGGGAAAAAATTAAAACTTGTCGAGACTTCGTTATAAAATGAGATTATTCTCAGCCTGTGGGTGGAGGGTTTGGGGGTTAACGGAGAAATAAATAAATGCGCGGCCACTTCAAAAAGAAGACTCAATTATTAGACGCTCCCAGTGAGTCTACCGTTAAACAAGACATCTATATGCTGGTCCTCGAAGTGATAGGGAAGAACAACACTCCACCCCCGACACTCGCCAGCAATTTCTAACTAGTTCGCAAGAAACCTCGTTAACGAATTTATTCGCTATGACTTTATCAAGTTCGAAGTCGGTGAGTATCTTCGTTGCTTTTAGTTTCACCAACCCGTGCTACTGCTTCGATTCGTTTGACTGTAACATGAAAAGTTCATCGACTGTCCTCGCAAAGTGGCAATTATTAGATGCACACTCAATTATCGTCTCAACGAAAATTCTTAAACTTTATTTTAACTTGACGTCATTAGTTGGTTGAAAACAGGCAATGCATACTATGTGGTAAATGTTACTTTAGCAAATATTTTGTAGCACCGTTTGATCAATTATGGTAATAATTCTATTGATTTGATAAAGGATGACAAATAAACAGCAGTTTTATTTGAAATTGAAATAAATCGAACTAATTCCTAACTGCAATGTTTAGACGCATTAGTCAAAGCGCGTGGACAAACGTGGTGACAGTTTTGTCCCTCAGCCAGCGCCGATTGAAACTGATTTCTCTTGCGAATTCCAAGCACGCCGGGCGTCGGATAACGCGCATCGAGAGACGGGGATCAAATTCGCAGTCACAGGCCACTGACAACCGATCGCCGGCGCCACCGACGCAGTTATCAAACCCCTCGCGCGTCCCCATGATTGATCAACGTGATCTTCGTTAAAATTCTGGTTGACCTAACGCCAACGGAAGAGGATCCACGAATAAAACAAAATTGTCGGCGGTTCGGTGAATTGTTTTCATTTGTCGCTTGCATCCCTTTTTTGCGCTTTTTCGCTTCGACCTGGAACTATGCACCGTGGATATATGAAAGCGAATCAATTGTTTTACGAAATAGTGTATTTCATATCAAAGTTTAAACGATATTTTATATCCTCAGGCTGTTTATTACAACTGTCAACAGTGTAAATCTTTCCTTTAAAGACGATCACAGACGTTATTATAAAGTAAGGGATATCCCAGTTAGAATTTGGAGAAATATTTGCCGTCGTGTTTTGTACAGCTACGAACGTGCACTATGCGTAAACTATTTTATAATTGAGCGTACCGGTAATATCGGTGTACGTTCTCGCACGGAATTCGCAATTATTTTCGAGAGTTTCATTTCGAACATTACGCGGGGATTTCAATCATTCGGAGAGCGCCATTTCTCATCCTTTCAGAATAGTCCTAAAAGGATCAGGTGATAAATGCACCTCATAAATATATGTAACTTACTGATGATTTGTGCTTATAGGACCGAGAGTGCAGCTCGGTGCCGCGTTTAAAACGTTTGCCAAATCCTCTAATAATCGCACCAACCTTATTTTCAAACCAAGTATCGAATTGCATAATTTATTATATAAATATCAGGCGAACGTAATCTGATAATAAATAAAAATGTAACGGGAGATTGTCAACCATGTTTCGATGCAGGCAAAAAATATGTTCACTGAAGCTGTGAAAAAAGAGTGACGTCAACAAAATCCGATATGTTCGGTGTGACTTTATGAACCGAAAGTCGATTTCATAGATGATATCGGAACCGAGATATCGCGCATGAAATTCTGTGGGATCCCGTCGTAAAATCGCGCGGCGAAACATCGTATCGGTTAAATGGTCGGCGCGAAACAACTCCCAACGCCGGTCACCTGTTTCGCGGTCTGTCGCCGGACACAGCGCGGTATGAAATAAAATTTGCACCCCCGGCCGATACCTACATACATGCTGTACGTATAATAAACTCTGGTTGTGCATACAACGACGTCACCGAAAACGGGAATATCAAACTCGGGAGCCGCAGACATGAAGAATACGAGGGGCCGCGTCACGGCGGCGCGGCGTTCCGTGTTCACATTCGGTTCCCATTTCGAATATCCGGCTTAGGCAAGTGCCGACCGCAGCCTCCGGGATATGCTAGTATCGGATGCACCATCCTCTCCCTTCGTGTTCCTCATTTTCCTCTATTTCTCCCCCTTTTCCCGGTTCCGCTTCCTCCCTCTTTGCCCTCCCCGTCTCACTTCTTTTTTTCCTCCTCATCTATCTTACTTCTTTCTTTTTCTCTTTCTCTCTCTGTTCTCCTCTCTCTTTCGTCTTTCTTCTCCTTTCTCTGTCTGTATTTTTCCGCTCGGTCTCTTTCTGTTTCCCGGCTTCTATCATCGGGCCTTCATACCTACATGCCGTAGTATCCGTTCGGCATATGTAAAGTTCCACCGCGTAGTTTATTTTCCGTATCGACCCCACTCTTCCGGTAGCGTCCTCTTCCTCGGCCCTGTCGTATGGATTACACGTTGACGTCCGTTTCTTCCTCTTCTCTTCCCCTTTGTGCCGTATACGCGCTACGCTGCTGCGTTGAAACATGTCCCCGTGATCGTCATACGGAATTTTGTCCGGACATATACACCGGGATCCGGGACGTTTTACGGGTTTCGAACGACCGGCTCCCTTTGTGGAGAGACGGCGACGATGAGCTCATACGAAGCCGAGAACGTAACGTGCAATCATTACTCCACCGTTTTTATAGATACTCTAAAGAAATGTACTAATATGTACTTGGACATATTTTATCATTTTAAACATGCACAATTAACGTTTGTACATTTTCAAGTCGCCATTTAAAAATATTTTACGTATTTTGTATATTCAGGAATAATAAAATCTGTTTTTAATTGTTGCGCTCCCAGTCGCAATGCCGAGAGTAATAAGGAGCGTTGTTACGATTTGCCAGTGTAGGAACGTCAATTAGGAACGGGCGGTAACTCGGTCACCGTGAGCCCGCATGAAATTAAATAAGGAGAATTAAATCAGGGACCAGTTTCCACTAAACGCGAAATAGCCATTTCCGGCCTTAATTGACCACCGTGCAATCGATCAGAGTTCCGAGTCCACATCTTTGATGTGGACCACAACACAGAACAAGGGATGAATTAATTGAAATTCTCTGATGCGGTATCAATTAGCGGCGTGACCGAAATTGGGTCAACCTTTCGGTCCTCGAGCAGTGAATCCAGTACTAAGTTCGTGTTTAACCAGACACGTCAATTAAATCATTTCTCTCCTTTTCTGTTCTCAGGCGGAGGAGTTAAACACTATCGTCGGCAATGCTTTTCGTATGGCATACGTGGCGCAACTTCAGCGCCAACCGATCCTCCAAGATGTGATCGCGCCGCAATCTTCGCCACCTTACCGAAAGGACAAACAGGAGAATCGCTCTTCGTGGGTAGGTGTAATCTCAATTATTTTAACGATTCATTTCGAAAATGTAATAAACTTTAATCTTCTGCGGCTAATTAATCAGTAAACTCGTTTCTCAGTAAAATAAATAATCGTTTTAATGTATTTGTATCAAACATTTTACGTCAGACCTGAATGTTTAATTGGAAGGTAACGCGAGACGTAGGTAATTGTTCAAATTGCAAAACGAATTCTCATCAAATTACACGCTGTATTTATCACATAAACGAGAGCAAAATTGTTTGCTAGGAGAGTTATCTTTCCGTGTCGATCGGTTTTCGTCCGGGACCAATTTTTCACGGCCTACCGTTTCGAATAATTGCTATCTAACGGTAATTCGTCAAAAACAAAATTGGCGTGCACGAGCCAAGAAAATTGAAAATATAGAAGCAAAATTACTTATTATATGCACAGATACTATGAATATTAAAAGGAAGAGTTTATAATAAAGTAATAATTAAAATTTGTAATTATTCTGAAATGAAATCCTTCTTTGAAGCGTTCATACGTAAGAAAAAGCCAGGAGCGATATCTGTAACGCGGCCTCATGGAAGCATCAGTTTCCAGTAGAGGTGTCCCATTTACAGGCCGCGTTAATTATAAATTCGACCCAAGTCTCTCGGCTCGCAGTCGTGTTTCCAAGTAAACGGTCAGTTCGTCTCGCGGCCTGCTAGTTCTCCCTACGCATTCGTCCTGGGAGTCGTAAAATTCTGTCGATAAACTATTCACCCGATTTCCCAAGCGCCGTCACCTGCAACCAACCTCGTGCTCGAACGATTCTTACGTCAAAATCGGCAAGTAGACCATGCATGTATCTCATTCATTGTTTAACGGGTCCAACAGACAAAGGTGCATCGGTTCCTTTCCTCTAGTTTTTTTATCAGGTATTCTTACATTTACCAGTTTCATTTGTGAATACGTCTTATCAAACGTAAAATGAGAAAATCGTGGTTTATCTCATTGTCAATTCTAACTGTCGCATATATCTTATAGAATTTTTACTCAGCTTTGAAAATTAAAAGAGAAACAATTATTTTATTTATCAGGCCACGGAATGTATTAGCAAGTATCTTGAAATTATAAAATAACAGCAACCTTAAGTATGTCAAACTGACACAAAGAGACAGGTGAATGTTAACTTGGAATTAATGTTCGGGTTTCAGAACAAATCGCTGTCTGGCGACGGCTCGATCGCCGGCGCAGGGGGTGTTTGCAGGAATTCGTCATCGAATTCGTGGCTGAAAAGTCGAACGTCGCCCACGTCCAGAACTGGAAGCGGCTCGTCTGCGGCGGACATGAACGTACAGCTCGGCAGCGCAGGCTCGCCCACGCTGCGACTCGCTAGCGTGAAGGTGAAACGCACGTTTATAATTCCACTACTACACAATTCAACCGTAGCCCGATGCCTTTCTCGAGAAACGCGCGCGATGTTATTTCACGCCATTCGCCACGGTTTTTGAGCACAACTTAAACTTTAAACAGATATGTCGTTGCGACGCGACGTTTTAACGATGTCGCGTTGGTCCAAGTACCACGAGAACGAAATTCACCGACCTATTCTCAAACCTGATTTCGAACCGCAGAAATTAAATTCATTGGAAAATTTCAGTCAATGATTTAACAATTATGCGATACAAAATAATTCATGGAATGAAAATTGTGAATATACAGTTGTAACAGTTACCTATAACTTGTTGGGTAGTCGTAAAGCGTTTGACAATGTTTTGCAAAGAAAATAGCAGAAAACAGTTTATGATTCCTGTCGAGTTCCCCGTTAACACGCTTTACAACACAAGACGCTTTCTATTGCCCTTAACAAGTCGAAGAGTCGAAAGCGATCGATCAACGTTTTTGTTTGCACCTAAAAGCAGACACCAAACTCGATCCCGGGTTTACGACCGACGCACAACTTCACGAACGTCCTGGGACCTATAACGAACGAGGACGAGCCAAAGAGTATCTCGCAGCAAAGCACGCCGAGCAGCGATGAGAGCAACTCACCGACGGAGCTGAACTCGTACAAGAGACTAACGGACAAGCCGCCTCTGATAAAGCGGCTGGCGATGGGTTTGACAGGTGGACGTGACGTTCTTGGACTGAACGGTGAGGATGACAGCTGCCCCCTCGTCAGTGGTAGCAGTACGCCGACGAGCCCGTCGAACAGGCCGCATTCGGGGGGTTACATAAACGAGGCGATCATCGACTCCGAGGGCACCAGGTCGAACTACAACAAGATACCGCCGTCTGAGAGCCTCGATAACACTATCAACGCGTCCATCACCGCGAAGAACTTCAACATCGAGAACAACAGGTAATTTCGACAGAAATAAAGATCTTCGTTTATATCATAAGAGCGGTAGAGAATAACATATATAGAAATTCAAAGTTTCATCTTGAAAATAGAATTATTTTACATATAAATCGTATTTGTTCATGTTGTGTATTTTGATAATTTACAGGATAGGACACAACTCTCCAAGCTCTGGCACGGAAACGGAATTCAAATCGAAGAGGAGATCTCAGATTAGCACCTCGAGCAGTTCGGTACCAGCTGATGGAAGTACACATGGCTCGACGCCGACCCCACCGCCTCTGCCTGAGAGAACGGATAGTCTAAATAATCGCAGCGAGGAAGCCGAGTTACGCAAGGCTCCTTGGTTCCAAGCTGGGATACCGCGGTTCGTAATCATATTCGTTTTATACGTTAGAAATTAAAAGTTATGCACAGAATTAGATTATCCAGCTGTTGTACGCGTTTAAATATTCATATATCTTCTATGGTAATTAATAAACACGTTAATAATATTTTATTATACTTGCACTACATGCAATATCGATTTGAGTGACTTTAATGGACAGTTGGCTGGGATTTTGTACACGAATTTTCACGATGTCGTTCGTTTCTGATTTCAGGGAAATAACGCTAGAAGTGTTAAGCCAAGAGCCGGAAGGAGCGTTCATGGTACGAGAGAGCACCAGTAAACCCGGATGTTATGCCCTTTCGCTTCGAGTGCCGCGCGAATTCCAACCAAGCGGAATAGCCCATTATCTCATAATGCGTACGAACAAAGGCTACAAAATCAAGGTAAATCTCTCCTCGAGTCTTCCTTATGAAACCGTCTACAGAACGTCTGCGCCTAAGTGGAGCAATTAACACTTTCCCCGCGACAGCTTAAATTAATTTTCTACTATTATAATTCATTCTACAAGACGGATGCAGGCTAATTAAATGTCCTCGGTAAACAAAGCGTTGCTCTAAACAAAGTTAAGCTGTTGAATAATATTTGCCGATATTTACAAACTTATAGAAAATCATGGATATTATATAGATTTTCTTATTTTAATTATTGTTTCAATCATATGTTCTTTTTCAAACGTATCGCATATAAAGCGAACGGACAGTCTTAAAAGAAGAGGGAGCTGCTTTGTAGCCAGATATTAATCACCACAGAGTAATATCGCGCGCGGCTCGATGCTTTTGGGTCGGAAACATCATAATAGAGACATTGTGTGAGCACAAAGTTAGTGCGGTTGTGCGTTCCGCTGCTTTCCGAGTACACATATCTACAATATGCGTATTTAAATGTCCGCAGACATTCCCTTGTAGGATAAATTAAATGGGTCCGCAGACTTTGATAATCTCCGAAACGAGTATAAATGAGTTTTGTTGGATGTACCGCAGGGAAATCAAAACCAGCTCCCCACTCTTTGATCTGGAATTGCATTGCCGTGGCAACACGCTACGAAATTCGTACTTACGTGTATATCTGTATATAAGGGATGATCATTTTGACTTACGTATATTGTCCGTCTTTGCGATTTGATATTTGACCACGATTTGTATTATTACGTGGAATAGCTCATTCTACGATCTAAAGTGTTCGTTCGTACGTGATACTATATATTGTTTGAATTTAATTGGGAAAAGTTACTGGAATTTTTCACCGTACATTGTGCATTCCGAATTAAATAAAAAGGCTGCATCACGTACTGGCGTAAACGAATGGTATTGAGAGCAGGAAATAAATATAGGACGGTGTTGTTTGTTGCAGGGTTTTACGAAGGAGTTCACTACCCTGACCGCTCTAATTACTCACCACTCGGTGATGCCGGAGTTGCTGCCGTGCCCGTTATCGCTAAGTCGATACAATCCTAGCTTTGTGAAAAGCGATTCGAACAAAGACTTCGCGGACATCGATTCGGACCCTGATTACAATACCTTGGCCGACTTCCGTAAAATGATGGCCGACCTGAATGTCTAGAATAGAGCTCTCGCAATCAGGACGATTCGGAGAAAAAAATCGATACTCACTGCCGCCGATGCTCTTCAACGCCGAACACCGCACCTGCAGGCTGAAGCGTGATACGCTGCGGGAAATTGAGACACGCTTTTCGCGATGGAATATCGTCCGCGCGCTGGTAGATATCACGCGGTGCGATCGCGCAAACGGGAAAGCGTTCAGACCGATTCTATCATCGTTCGTCGTGAGCGATACGGATGTTTCTTGATAACGTGATTGAAATTTCGGATCGATGACGTGTTTATCGGGTGTTTGGAGGAGTGAAGAGCACCGGGCAATTCTGTAGACGGTCTCGCGGTGATATGTACACATTAAGTCATCGGTAGAGGTAAGGCACGTAGCGTAAGTAATTTAATGATCGCCACTATTCACGAGGATGAATAAAAAATGAATTACGGAGGACGCGCAGCGGTGAAACTTGATTCCTTACTTTTCTAGTAGATTGAAACGTACGAGGCACGATTATTTCGCGGAACGTTTTCGGTTCGACTAGCTTACCGTAGGGTTTCGATGAAATGAAACTGATGACGGTGAATGAGATAAGTATATTTTTTAATGTTACTGCGAGAGTACCTACTTTTCCATGGTTTTCGTTCCGAACGAATGTATAAAAACTTTATGTGGTGTTGAATTTAGTTTAGAGATCGATGAAAGTAGATAACCTGCGTTGCATCATCCGACAAGAATCGTTAGGAAATTGTACCGCGGAAACTAATTAAATATTATGAGAAACGTTCAACGTACTAGATCGATGTAATTTTTGTTGGTTCCCCATCGATTGTAATAGTAAGATTTAGAATCTTTGAGAATTTACTAATAAAAATTGCACGCAGCTAAATAATGTTTTACAAAATTAATGTAAATGTGTTTATATGTATATAAATTATAATTATTGTTATACGATATTACTTATATTTAATTAAACGGCATTGACGGCATCGTCAGAAGGGATTGTACCCTTGAGACAGTGACGAAACTAACTAAGCGTAGAGTACCGTAAAGAGTTTCGTGAAAAATACACCGGTTATAATAATTTAATCGCTCGACTGACCTAGTCCTGTACAGAATTTACATGCGCGCATAGTATGAGTATTAAAACGAAAAAAAAGAATGGAAAAATAAGTACATATATCTATACTATCTTATGTGTGTGTTAATCAACATAGCCGAGCAAAATCCAAAAATACTATGTGCCGCTTTTTATACGCCCAGGAATTAGGAAATTTGAAAAAAACGCTCCAATAAAACAATTTGATTTTTATCGTCTATGATACGAGATCATCAATCAGCCCTTTCGCAGTTAGAAGTTAAATTTCATACGTTGCAATAAAATTTCTTATTGACTATCGAATTATCAAAATGTATAACTGGTTTAATTCATTTTTTGTATTTTAATAATAAGAATGCGGAAACTGTTGTATTGTAGTGGTTCATACTTTCGTTTTATATTTCTTTAGTCTTGCACTGTGAAAGGGTTACGATTTAAATAACTGCCAGGAAATCTACTGATTAATATGAACACGTTAGAGTACATAGATTTAACGTAACGGCAAACTGCTAGTACTTCACGGATCATCCTACGTAAAATCAATTATATTTTACCCTCGAGGTCTGACATTTTATTAAAATGAAATATAATGCACGTATCATGCGCAGAATCAGAGAATATTTGAATATCATAATTTTGTTCGAATGAATTTTACTTTAAAAATATGAAATAAGATTTCTATTTATAATTAAAAAATTCCATTTGAATTTTTATCTCAGGAATGATTTATCGCATTTGGAAAACAAAATGAATTTTGTTCTATTAAAAATATTTAACAAAGTGTTCTACAAAAGATAGAAAATTCTGAGATAAAAATACAGATGTTCATAACAAATCACGGACTTCGAAGCCTTGTAGCTTATAAAAAAATCCGAAATCAGACAAATGCTGAGCTAATCTTGTTTCAATTTTATTCGAACTAAAACATATATCATTAGGAATAGATCTTAAGAAACAAGGAGAGAGAAAATTGATTTTCCGTGGTATGACTCTAATCCTATGAAGTAAATTGTGGTAAATAATGAAACAGTGTTTGAATAAGCAGTTTGTCCGACGTTCGAGTATCTGGTATTAAATTAAATACAATCTTCCTCTCCCTTATCGTGCTAGCACCTACCTATAAAGAGAATAAATGTGTCTGGTATTCGTTTGTTTGAAACCGTACCGGTCGAAAGTGTAACATTAATGGACTTCAAAAAGTGTAAAATAAGCAAAAGTATGAAGAAATTTAAAAAGTCACTTATTCTCGCGTTCAACAGAAAAATGAATTAAGACTTCAGCATGATTTAGCTAGTTTACGGACGTCCGTTGTGCTTCGACATCGAGGATGAAAGTACACGTGATGGTCTACGTAATTGCCAAAATTGATAAATTGCCTGCTAAGGTAAATACTCAAAAGAAAACAGATGAAAATGAATAAATCGTTGTAAGCTATGCTAAGCAAGACATTAATCACTGCTTGAAGTTTGTAATGTTTTACGAATCATTATAGCAACGCGTTGTATAATTTCAATAAAATTATTTATTACAATAAACAATGAACTGAACAACATTATTCACTTCATAATATACCTACAATAAACATAAATGTTCAGGAGTAAAAGAGGATAAAATATAAAATGAAATAAATCAGAATAAAATGTGTTCTGTTTTTATTTAAAAACTGTGTACAAATTATTATATAATTTCACAATGTAAATTATACATCCTCTCGTACAACACTCTTTGCCTTGTCTGAAATAAAAGGTACTGTTCCCTTCTTAGAATGAAGTCGCCTGTTAGCCTCCCTAAAATAGAATTAATAAAAGTAGTAAAGAAACGTGCATACGCATAATTGAGATTTTTCAAACAATACATACTTTCGTCTTGATTTCTGGTCAATAGTACGTAATTCAGTCCTGGCATTGTAAATATGTTTGGGAACATGCCTGTGCCGGGCGATTCGCTTCACTTGAGGATGAGCAGCGAACTTTTCTTTCAAAGCTTCACTGTAATTTAATGCTGCCTTCTCTCTAGGTTTCAACTGCAAACATATATTTCATTAAATTGTATTCCTTGGCAAATAATAATAGCTTTGTAACATAATCATTATATAGTAACTGCATACCACGCCTAATTTCTCTGATGCTCTCGCTTTCCAAATACGAATATTCATTTCGTCACTACCGCTAATAATGTACTTATTATCAAGGGACCAGCCTACGCATGTTAACCGTTGCATACGTTTCGTATGATAAACTTCTCGAGAATGTCCTTGATCGACGCCGAAAATCCGAATCGTTTTATCATAACTACCGGATACGAATTCTTTACCGGTTGGAGAATAATCCACGTCTACTACAGCTTGCACATGATCCTTATGTACACACAATGGTTTGCTTAATTTGCGAATATCGTAGGTATACAGGCTAAAACAAACGATAAATATCAATAATTAATTTCTATACTTCATTTTAATTCGTCTCTTGAACGTACTTGTAATCCTCGTTGGCACATGTGAAAGTAACTGCTTCCATGGGATTCCAAGACAGTTTGTTACTCCTTAATTTCATGATTACTCTCCTTAAAGGACCTGTGTCTCTAGCATCATACAAGATTATGCTGCGGTCACTCGCACAAGTAGCTAGAAAGAAACAGCATTATTTAACTACAATCTTAAAATACGTATTAGTTCAATACAACAGATAATAATTCTTACCAAATAAATTAGCCTGGACAGGATTATACTTAATGTCATATAAGGTATCAATGCCCCATTTGAATGTCCGAATTGGTTCGTTCCTAGTTTCTTCCCACAAATGACATACTTCACCACACGTTGCAAATACTCGTTGACGTGTATGATGAGAAATCGAGCTTATTATAGTCTGTGTATGAAATGAATATGATTTCTTAATTAAATGAGAAAAAAATAATGTTACCCTTCTTAGAACTCTGATCATCTTACTTTGCTAATAACTGTGTTTAATGGTTCTTCTTCTTCACCGAATGGTTTTTGTGCTTTCCATGTTTTTATAGTTTTATCGTCACCAACAGTGATAAAGTTTTCTTTATTCAAACTAAATGTTAGTCCTCTTATTATGCCATCATGTGCCAAGAAGCTACGTTCACAGATTCTTAGAGGAAGATTCCATACTTTTATTTCCCCATCGAAAGCTCCACTGAGTAATGTAGACAACTGAGTAGGATGTTTATACACACAAGATATCCCATCTTTATGGCCTTCTAAGCATCCAATAAAAGGTTTAGCAAATACTTTCTCTAATTTTACTGAATTCAAGGCTCTTGTGTATTCTCTTGCTGCTTCAAAGGGATGTAATTCAGGGTTATAATTCCTGGGAACTGTAAACAGATGTTCATGTATATTAAACATTACATATTATCCCACCACAAAGTATAATGAAATGTCTATAAGGTATAATTTACTATCATACTGACAAAGTGCATACACGATCAGATAGCTTCACTAACCTTTATAAATATCACGTTTTGTTTCTCTCAGATATTCATCTGGATTCCTTGTTAGGACTTTCACTTTCATTTTGTAATAATGAAACTCACGGTAACACAACAATTTAACGTAACATGTTATAAAAGGATCAACACGTGAGTGATGTGTTTTGTAAATTATAAACGTGCAAAATAAAATCCCTTCTTCGTGGAGACTGAAGCCGACGACGCAGACTCGAGCTGTCTCTTTGTCTCTCTCTGATCTGATCTGAGTTTGCTTGTGTTTCTTGAGTTAGTTCCTTTTAGTTCTACTTGTATAGCCAAGTAGAACGGATTTGTTTTTTCATTAAAAGTTGATAGAAGTAAGTGTTAAGCATTTTTACTAAATAATAATATTTAATAAATGAATTATTATGGAAAAATGCGAGAAACGAAGTACTTATCGTATGTATGAATACAGAAATAATAGAAATATTTAGTTGGTGAACGATATCATTCAACCAACAAGGTCAATACATTGCATTCAAAGTATAGTCATTTCGGATACACTTGGTTCGCAGAAGCATGCAATTATAAAAGTCATGTAATGTAAACTATATGGATGCATAACATAAATCATATGTTTTGTACTTTTTATCTCATAAATTATCTTGACAGTTCAGATATTATTTATGACTTTAAACTTAACACTAATTGAATGCGCAAAACAATACTAAGTATAATAATTTAATTTTATCATGTTATAGTACACATGATGTTTTGTGGAAGATTGTCAAAGCAGCTGCTAAGAGCAAGACAATTTCATTCTACTCTTGTTAAAAATGAAACTAAACCTACACCTCCGTCTTCAAAGTCAACTACTTCTAAAACCAAAATGACAGCCGAAGAATTGCAAGAACATGTATTGGGTAAAATATATTCTTATTAATATCATTTCATATTTTAATTGAGACCTGTAAAGAGAAATTTGATCTTTCTGCTTTAGGGGCACCTTTACACACTGTGGGCGCTCTCGATAAATTTATATTAGTTTGGGTTAAACGGTATCCTAGTATAAGTGAAGTACCAGCGCAAGTGAGGTAATTACATTTCATTTAAAACATGTATTTTAGTTCATAATTCTTACCTCGAGAACTGTAATATTATATCATAGATCATCATTTTTTATAAAACTATAGTTTCATTTACCTTTTAATTCTAAATCCTACATTACATTAAATATTTTGTTTATCCAGCATACCATGTATTCAGAAGGCACATACAAAGGCAAGGATTTATGTATGCTATATGATGATGGTATTTGGTATAGCTGGCTTTTTTATATCATCGTGGATGGGAAAAAGAGATGCTGCAGCTGGGAAAAATATAGTAACAGAGAGAATGAAGTGGTATGAAGAAGTAAGAGAAAAAGGTCGAAAAGAAAAGGCAGCTGCTGAAGCAGCAGCAGCAGCAGCAGCTGATAAACAATGAAATACAATCTCACAATCAGTTAAATTGATAATATGAAAGAATTCGAAAATTATTTACTGATAACTTCTGAATACTCCGAACAGTTTCACTAGTCTAGCATTGTATGTGATTTATCAATGATAATAATGCAATGAGCAATAATATAAATTAGCAATACTCCATTCATGGGGTCGCTTCAGCGGTTTTGGTTCCCCACGAGACTTGGAGAAATGCAGTATCGTAAGACGCGAAGTCGCTTGGAGAGCATTATTTTATGAATTCATTGTTTTTAAACGTGATTACGTTATGTATAAGTTGTGTACAGTAAGTATTCTAAGTACTCTTCTGTAAACAATCATAATAGAAGAGAATGTATTTTTATAAAAAAGTGTAAATTCTTTAGGCTCATTTTCAAATCTTATTAAACATTTCTTGCAAATATACAATAAAAAGAATGTTCCAAAACATTTGTTCCTTGTAAAAGAGTTTGATGATAAAAAAAATAAACAAAAAATTATAGTTTGCACGAGTTTGAATTATTAGTATTTATTTTTGTATAAATGTGCAGTACTAAATATATTTACAACTAATATTTCGACATGTATGTAACTATAACTGCAGTCATAAAAAAGTTGATGTTCACATATTCACAAATTCATTCAGTGACAACAATATTATGTCTCTAATTCCTTGGGTGGCTTGTAAAAGGAACGGCATTTTTCATGATATACATCGATTGTACGTTTCCTTACAACTTCCTCTATATTCAATTCTGATTGTAGCAAGTGTAGAGTGGACTGTTCTTTCCTCATCGTTTTCAAAAGTTGTGGACTCTCGTTGCCATTATCACGCTGAGCTTTCAACTCTCTTAACTTCTCTTTTGATAGATTCAAACACCTTGTAATAGCCAATTCTCTTTTCTCGTGTCCTGAGTGAATTTGGTCATATAATTCTTTACACTTTGCAGTAGGATCTACTTGGCTCTTAAAAGACTCGGTAGGAATTGTATTATTTAGAAGATAAATAATTTTGTCATCAAATTGTCTCATTTTTTTCAATGCATCCTGAAACAAATAAAATTATATCGTCATATTGAGCAAGTAGAAATTCCTGAAATGGGATACATATAAATAGTACCATGAATAANATGTAAATTCGTTCATTCTATTTAGTCTATTGTATTCTTACCGTATTTTGAAATTGTGAACATCATTTTTGACAAAGATTCTTGTTTCTCTCTGGATTTTAAAACATTGCCTAGTTTTCCTTCATTAAGAGCTTCAAGAGTAATTTCGGGGAACAGATTGGAAGTCGTAGTTATGAAAGAATCCATTCCTAATGCGGTGGCAGCGGTAATTAACTAAAACAAATGATAGTAAACAAATCATCCTTTATAAGATTCGTTATCTATTCTTTCTATTTTGAGAAATCCATAAAGTAACCATTTTTACTCTGTTAAGGAAATTATTTTCATAAAGGTGAAATAATTAAATGATACCTGATCATTTCCAAGAAATACCGCGTATTTTTTGTTATTCACGCGAAACGCTTGAGCGCCTTCGTCCAATTTCGGACTTGTAAATTTGATTCCAGCGAAAGTTGGAATTTCGTCGCCAACTAGTGACTGGAGACACTGTCCCATATGGACTGGAAAAATACAATATTTTACTGCATGTTTGATAGAATTAAGGAATTGTTCACTTACAAGTGACATTAGTCATGTCTGGGAAATGGTAATATAAAAGAGGCGTATTTGGAGCTGCGGAACCGACTAATTTTAAATAATCTTTCAATTCTTCCTGTGTTGCTGGTTTGAAATATAGTTCCGGTAGACAGAGGATGGAATCCGCTTTAATTCCTTCCGCGTGTTTTGCCTTTAATAATTTAATTGATAGAGCAATGATTTAAATTATATAGTAAAGTAACGTTTGTAAATATCTCGCATTTAAATTGTGTGCTAATATCATTCATTTATATTCTTGTTTTACGTACGAGTTCGAGAACATCTGGTAGATTTGTTCCACCAACTTGAATCATCAAATGTTGATTCGTAGTTCTCACGGCATTCGCCCAAGCTTCAGCAACTAATTTTCGTTCATTTGTAGACAAAGATGGACCTTCCCCAGTTGTTCCATTCACTGTGGATCAAACGTTCTTGTACTTTCACATTAGCTATTTTAAGCATTAATTAAAATTCTATATTGATCGTGATGATTGCGAATTGAAATCTTCACTCACCGAGAACACCGGTCACTTGTTTCTTAGCTAAATACTGTGCGTATTGAGCTATGATTGGCAAGTTTAATGATCTGGCGCTGGAATGAAGAATTCGATATTGATATCTCTACAGAATCTGTACATTTAAAATATTAAGCAAATTACCTGTCACTATTAAATGGCGTAAATACAGGGGTGATAAGACCCTTATATGTGAATGGTAGTTTCTATAATTAAAAGCAAATGATGTACTACATTTCTAGATATAATTTTATACGCTAATTATTCCTTTCTCATTCAATAATTATAATTTAATTACATTTAATTAAATCTCTAAAAAACCGCTTGGTGTAGTTTTGTAAATGGCAAATAATATTTGCAATAAAAGAATTCTGGTTAATGTATTTGCATACATACCGGCATTGTGAAATACGATGCGAATCTACGGAGAATTGGTTGGCGGAATGCAGCAAACTGAATTAAGAGGAATATTTTCATCGTGTCTCTGATAAGGCTTCCCCCACTTCTTATCACATATCACATATTTACTGATATTGTGTACTTTTTTACTTTGTATTATACACAATACATACGTACACACATCTTATTATTTTAAGATTGCGCTGTTTTGGAATAAGAACCACTTCATCATTTTAACACTTTACTACGAGATAATTTTTAAACTATAATATAAAAAGATCTACTGATCTATTTTCTGTGTATCTACTAGTATGTATGTGAATTATGAATAAAGATATAATCGTTAATATAATTTATCATAATTATTACACATAATATTTCGAATGTAATGCTCATTAAATTCTTACAAGCATGGAAAGTTTCGATGACATCTTTATCTCGCGATTAATGTTCAGTCATCATTTGCATTTT